CAAAGTGTTTTGTGAAAGTTATGTGCAAAAGGAATTCCAAATCTATAAAGGAATACCAAGCCTAAGAGGAGTAGTTATTGAAGAGTACTAGTTCTAAAAGGAAGTGTTATTGAAGTTTTTAGTTCTAGTCTGATTAGGAATAGCTTTATTATTCACGAATCTGTTAGGAATAACTACTATAAATAGGGGTTGTCCTTTCTTGTAGAATTCAAGCATTCAACATTAATCTTGTGAGGTACGAGAGTCTTTGAGAATAGGATACTAAATTCCCCTAGAAAGTAGTACATGTGTTTAGGTTTCAATAGTTTGGTAGGAAAGATCATTCTATTGTGTAATCTCAGGTTCCAAACAGTGTACTTTAAATATTGAGCTTTTAGTGGATTTAGGCAAGTTCTCAAATGGAGAAGTGCCTCGCAGATTAGGGTTGTTTGCCCGAACTGCGTTACAAATTATTTGTGTTACAACTTCAGTTTCGGTACTGCGCTTTACAAATTTTCAATTGGTATCAGAGCCAAACTGCTTAAGTTATTAGCAGGATCCTAATGGAGTTTCCCAGAGAAGGACTGTCAAGCACTAGGCCACCTGCCCTCAATGGCACGAATTTTTCCTACTGGAAAGCCAGAATGCAAATATACATCTTGGCACAAGGAGAAGGTGTTTGGAATGCTATAGAAAACGAATGCAAAACTCCCAGTTGATGATAAAGGGAACATAAAACCTAAAATTGACTGGAGTGAAGAAGAAAAAACAGAATATAACTTCAGCTCGAAGGCAATGAATGCAATCTATGGAGCTGTGAGCGAAGATACCTTCAAACTGATTGCCTCCACTCGCATAGCCAAAATTGCGTGGAGTATATTGCGCGATCATCATGAGGGAAACACAACTGTAAGACAATCTAAGCTTCAGATGATACAAACTGAATTTGAAAACCTGAAAATGGAAGAGGAAGAAAGCATCACCCAATTCAGTGCCAGAGTTTTAAGTATATCCGGAGATGCATTCAACTTAGGCGAACCTATACCCAAACATAGGATCGTCAAAAAGGTACTACGCTCACTACCCGGAAGATTCCAAATGAAAGTCACCGCTATTCAAGAACATAAAGATCTAAACACCTACAAACTGAGTGATCTAATGGGAAATCTTCAAACATATGAGCTTGAGATACTGCAAAAAGGAAAAGATAATGACAAAGGAATTGCGTTCCAATCAAAGCAGAAAGGAAGTCCAGAAATTGATACTGAAACCATAGAACAATCAATCGCTCTCCTAACAAAGAATTTCAACAGAGTTCTCAAACAATTCAACAAATTTAGAAACAAAAGTGCTTCAATCAATCAAGGGGACTTCCCAACTGGACAAAATCAATCTATTTCAAAAAGAAGAGACAGTTCAAATACAGAAGGAATACAGTGCTATGAATGCAAAGGTTTTGGACACATCCAATCAGAATGTGCCACATACTTGAAAAGGAAAAATAAAACATATATAACAACCATAAGCGATGACTCAGATAGTGAAGAAGATGACAGCAACACAAATTTCGTAGCCTTCACCGCTAGCCATGAAAGCAACAATAGCGATGACATGCAAGAGTTACTAGAGGCATACACTCAACTAAATGCCAAGTGGGAGCAAATAATCAAGAAAAATTTGGAACTCATGGAAGATAATCACTATTTGAAGAATGAAAAAGAACGAATAGAGAAACAATACAAAGAAGCTCAAAACGAACTATTAGACTTCAAAAACAAAGAAGCTAAACTACTACAAGAAATCAAGGAGCTTACCGAAAGACCCAGGACTCCAAGCACAGACACTAGTGAGAATCATCAAACCGAGACACAGGAAGTGTCACAACAGCACTTCCGACACCGAAGAAGAATAAGGTGCTACTATTGCCACAAACTAGGACACATCAAAGCTCACTGCTACAAGAGACAGAATGATCTTTACTACAGACAAAACAATAGAGTATGGCCAACACAGAACAGAAATAATAGTAAGAAAATCTGGGTAAGAAAAGACCAAAATGTTGCATATACCTCCAAAACAAACAAAGAGCAAGATATATGGTACTTTGACAGCGGATGTTCAAGGCATATGACTGGAAATTCAAAAAATCTTGAGAACATCCAGTACAAAAATGAAGGGCATGTCACTTTTGGAGACGGTGGAAAAGGACAAATTATTGCAAATGGTACCTTGAATGTCCATGGGCTGCCTAAGTTGTCAAAAGTCCTTTTAGTACAAAGCCTAAAAGCAAATCTAATCAGCATAAGTCAGCTTTGTGAAGATGAACTCAAAGTAGAGTTCTCTAGTGACAGTTGCAATATGTTTAATCAGAATCATGATTGTGTCATGATGGGAAAAAGGTCTACAAACAAATGCTACACATGGGATAGTGATCTATCCGGTTTACAGACAACCATCAGTCAAACACAATTATCGCACCAACGTATGGGACACATAAATTTTCATGACCAATGAGCATCCCCAGGCTATTCATCAAACAGTGTGATCATTGATGATGTAACTCCAACAATAACCACTGATGATGACAAAAGTCCAAGAGTTGTTGAAACAACTGTTCCAACACCTCTAACTAATGATATGCAGAATTGCAGAACAGAAACAGAGCCAAATGAAGAAAAGGATAAAAGTCATTCTACTCAGAAAAATCATCCTTTGGAAAATATCATGGGAGATCTCAATCAAACAATAAAGACTAGAGGAAAGAAACAAGATTTCCACAAAATAAAAGGAGTATACTGCCACACCTCCAAGTTTGATCCAAAAAAAAAACATTGATGAAGCCTTAAAACTGTAACAGATATACATGATTGGGGTATAAAGTTGAGCTATGACATATGTGAACAAAATATGAAGTTTGGATTGCACTTACAATGACTCCGAAATTCTGTCGAACAGTTGGGGCGCACCCAAATGCGAGAGGGGTTTGTATAAATGAATACAAGTACGAGACTGATTTCCAATCAAAACCCGTTACTGTCCGGTTATTATAATAATCTCCATGGAAGCCAATGACATGAGTCTTCGGGTGACTTCATTTTCTTGCTACCACAACAACCCAGAAGAGAGCCTGGTGCGAAGGATCACCGGAAAATCAAGAAAAGAATACGGGGAAATCAGCATCTTCGATGTATCTACCATGGATGAACACGTCAGAACGGCTCCTCCACCGTTTGATGACGGCAGTTACGGCGGATACGCGCCACCATACCAATCAGCCGGGGGATTTCCGGGAGAGTACGATGAAGTGACAGTTGAGCACTTTCCTCAATCCGTCCACAGTCCCGATCCCTATGGATTCGGGTCGGATCCGCACCCAACTTTCGGATCCTCTACCGTTCCGGTTTCAAACGGCAATGGAAATCCATATGATCTTGGAGAAGATTCCACCGGAATATTCATCTCTGATGGCCCGGTGCTTCCTCCTCCAAATGAAATGCATGAGGCGGGCTTTGCCCTGCGTGAATGGCGAAGTTTGATTTACAGATCCAAAACTTTAATTTGTTGGTCCGACTTGAGCTTTTAAAGAAGCTGGGGAATCAAGAGAAGTTCCATAAAGAAGCTGATAAACAGTATTGGAAAGCCATAGCTGAACTGATTCCTAACGAGGTGCTCTAAACAGCTGATTTATGTACGACTAATTTTGAGATACAATCAATAGGCATCTGAGATTCCGTGGCTGTCGGATGGATTTTTGTTGTTTCCACAGAGAATATTCAGGCAATAAAAATGGGCTTCAACCATGTAATGGGTCACCAGCTTCAGCCTTGGCCCATTGTTTTTCAGTACAAATCTTCACACAATTCCCAATTTGTGGAAAGCTTGATTCCAAAATGATCATTTGATGACAAATGAACAAAATTATTAGGTCTCTTCTTTGAACCGACCAATGCCTAATAGTCTGTGAAATATATATAAATGATGTTCCCAATGGTTATATATATATATATATATATATATATATATATATATATATATATATATATATATATATATATATATATATATATATATATATAATGGGTTGCATTTTTTCTGCCTCTTTAAGAGATTGGGTATGTCTTAGGGCCCATATAAGATCCAAAACCACTTGAACTTATCTATGATCAAATCCTCAACTTTTGTGACTGTGTGGATCTACTTTACCACACATTGGTAAAATGTACAGAGACAGTGAAGAATTCTCTTCACTCACACATTCAAATACAAGTTTCAAAGTTTTTTTTTTCCAAGAACTCCAGGAATCAAGTTTAGGGAGAGAAGAATCAACTAAGGGGGAGAAGAATAGGAAATCAAGCCACTATGAGATCAAGGTTTTTGCCAAAAATTTGACAAAGGGGGAGATTGTTGACTCAAAGTGTTTTGTCAAAGTTATGTGCAAAAGGAATTCCAAATCTATAAAGGAATACCAAGCCTAAGAGGAGTAGTTATTGAAGAGTACTAGTTCTAAAAGGAAGTGTTATTGAAGTTTTTAGTTCTAGTCTGATTAGGAATAGCTTTATTATTCACGAATCTGTTAGGAATAACTACTATAAATAGGGGTTGTCCTTTCTTGTAGAATTCAAGCATTCAACATTAATCTTGTGAGGTACGAGAGTCTTTGAGAATAGGATACTAAATTCCCCTAGAAAGTAGTACATGTGTTTAGGTTTCAATAGTTTGGTAGGAAAGATCATTCTATTGTGTAATCTCAGGTTCCAAACAGTGTACTTTAAATATTGAGCTTTTAGTGGATTTAGGCAAGTTCTCAAATTGAGAAGTGCCTCGCAGATTAGGGTTGTTTTCCCGAACTGCGTTACAAATTATTTGTGTTACAACTTCAGTTTCGGTGCTGCGCTTTACAAATTTTCAGAAACGTTTGGCATAGATGCCCCAAGTAGCGTATTATTTGTGCATTTTCTTTTGTAACCACCATGCATGGATCTATAAGTATATATGGAGGCCAAACTACAAATCAACAATCATTAAATTGCTACGTATATAGAAAGCTAATTAAGTAGCTCCATTGCAATATAATGGCGGCCAGTCATCAGATGACGTCGGCTTTATACAGAGCAGCCGTGGCTGGTAAATATGAAGATTATAAGGCTCTCCGGCAGACTACGGCTGCAGATAATGGAGTTGGCCGCATTCAAGTTACGGCTGGCAATACTGTGCTGCACGTTGCGGCGCTCCACTACCACAAACAATGTGGAAAACATCCTAGAAGAAGAAGAGGATCGTGTAGCCTCGTCTTTGTTACTTGCTAGAAACAACAAAGGTGAACTGTGCTCCACTGTGCAGCGGAGAAAGGCAATGCCGACATAGTCTTTGTCGTTATCAGTGCCGCCAAGAAATACAAGGATGTAGAGAGCTTGGTGTGGGAGTGAGGGAGATGATAGAGATGTGTGATGAAGTCAAAGACACGGCTTTGCACAAGGCCGTGCGAATGGGACATTTGAAGGTGGTGGAGTTATTGGTGAAAGAGGATCCTGAATTTAAGTACCTTGCCAATGATGCCGGAGAGACGCCCATTTACATAGCAGCAGAGATGCAATTTCATGACTGTTTGGTGGAAATGCTTAGCACATGTACAAAGCCTACCTATGATGGACCATTGGGTAGAAATGCTCTCCATGCATCAGTATTATCAGGTATAGTCGTATGTTCTAAATTTAACGGTTCACTAAGAAATCTGAAAAATGTTTTTTTGAAAAATGATTGTTAAAAAATGACTATTTTTTGTATTTGGTTGAATGTTAGAAAAATATCTTTTTCTATTTGACTGAAAGTTGATATTGTTTTTTTTTTTGTTTTGTTCATTTTCCTAAAAATGAACATATTATTTTTTATAATAATTTTTGTGTTTGGTTGAATGTTAGAAAAATATCTTTTTATATTTGAGTGAAAGTTAAGATATTGTTTTTTTTGTTTGGTTCATTTTCTTAAAAATGAACATATTATTTGTTATAATAATAATAATAATAATAATAATAATAATAATAATAATAATAATAATAATAATAATAATAATAATAATAATAGTATTAATATTAATAATAATAATATTAATAATAATAATAATAATAAGTGGTGTGGTGGTGGTTGTCTTGATGGTAATAATAATTATTAGAAAACTAGCTTAAACTAGAACGTCATTTTCCATTGAATTGTGCCTTTTTCCCCCAAAAGCTAATAAATATGCATGCCGCCACAACTAAAAGTTACCTAAAGGCTTAAACTCATAACCTCTCATTTAGGAGAATGAATTCATGCCACTTGACCATAAGGTCTTTGGCATTATGTTATTACTTTATTCTTTGGAAAATGTGTATTATATTTATGTTCTAAAGTATTTATGCTATAAAGTATTATATTTAAGGCTTCTAATATTTATGATATATCTAATTTTGTTATGTTACTCCGTATTACTTTATTTCTACAAACTATGTATAACAGTTTTGCTATAAAGTACCAAATTTATGCTATACAATACTTTTTTTTGTTTCATTTTACATTTCAATTCGGTTAACGGGGCATGACTGAAGTTATTTATAATTTAATTTTTTATAATATTATATTTATAATTAGTATGTAAAATTTAAATATTTAAAAACTACATTAAAGTACTATTAAACCCAAAAAAAAATTAAAATTAAAAATTATAAGAAAATAATAATAAAAATAAGAGTAAAAGACATTTTTGGTCCTAGACTTATAGTGGCACCAGACAATTTTAGTCCTCTTTAAAAAAATCAGACAATTTGTGGACAATCTTATTGTGACTAGAACAATTTTGGTCCTCCGTCAATATTTCCGTTAGATGGTCTGTTAGATAGGGGTAATTTCGTCTTTTCAGACCTCCTTTTCATTCCCGTTCTCAGCCAGACTTAAAATTGGAAGACCTAATTTTGACTCTAATCTTACTAGTTGAAGACCATCAGATTGAAGAACAAATTCGCAGTGAACATAGCAATAGATTTATGTGCCTGAGGGTGCTGATGATGGATAATTCCGACAGAAACTCTGCTTTCCCTTCGCTGCCGTGACTACACTTCTTGACTGCCACTCCAACGACTGCGCCGGGGACTTCCTTGCACAGCTGGCTACGACATTTTTCAGGTGGTGCTGGTGTGGCGTTGGACGCCGGAGATTAAGGAATGGTATCATTATGAAGGAAAATGAATGAACCTACCTGATCATCAGAGAATCTCTCGGAATGCGATGAAATCGAACCAGAGCTTTCGATTTCACCACTGGGACTCTTGTCAGACGATTTCCTCCGCCACAGTCAGCTCCTCTGGTTCATCTCCGCGACTAGCTAACTATCCTTCTTTGCCACTCAGGCACTCACTTCATATTGAACATTTTCTGTTTTCAAAGTACACCACCACTCACCCCTGAAATTACAATGATATTTGATTCAGATCCAAATGAAGATCCAGGGACATAGACCAAAACCAACACTTAACTGAAATCTCCCTTCTCTATCATGGAATTGGAATGAACATTAAAAAAGAAAAGGGCAGACAACACATGACTTGATTTAGAAGTCTGATGAAAGTAATAGCAAAAAAGGCAGAATATTTGAAAGTGGTTAGTGACTATTGAACTCAAGCTGGAGTACGGAGAAGTTCACATTTTGGGGTGAGGAAATGTGTGTCCGATAGCAGGGCGAGGACGACGGGGATAAGGATTTCTGGTAATTCCAGAATCCCTAGTTTTCTTAGAAAGTAAAGCTGAATCCATCAAATCACTCAACACTGTGGACAATTGCTAAATCCCCACCGCCAACCACCGGTCCTCCGGCGCCCAACACCACACCCGCACCACCTGAGAAATGTCGTAGCCAGTTGTGCAAGGAAAGCCCCGGCGCAATCGTTGGAGTGGCAGTCAAGAAGTGCAGTCACGGCGGCGAAGGGAAAGCAGAGTTTCTATCGAAATTATCCATCATCGGCACCCCTCAGGCACAGAAATCTATTGCTATGTTTACTGCGAATTTGGTCTTCAATCTGATGGTCTTCAACTAGTAAGATTAGAGTCGAAATTAGGTCTTCCAATGTTAAGTCTGGTTGAGATCATGAATGAAAAGGGGAAGAAGGAAGGAGGTCTGAAAAGACGAAATTACCCCTATCTAACAGACCGTATAACAAAAATATTGACGGAGGAACAAAATTGTCCTCGTCACAATAAGAGTGTCCCCAAATTGTCTGATTTTTTTTAAAGATGACTAAAATTGTCTGTGTCACTATAAGTCTAGGACTAAAAATGTCTTTTACTCTAAAAATAAGCAAAAAAAAATAAAAATAAAAATAAAAAATAAAAAGGCTGCTTTGACCAATGGGCCATATGGAGTATTATATATAAGACTTAAAGTATGGATTATATATGTAATTATGTTATGTTATTACTTTATTTCATGCAAATTGTCTATTATGGTTTTGGTATAAAGTACTATACTTATGCTATAAAGTACGGAATATTATATTATATATAAGGCTTAATTAAAGTATTAATGATATATGCAATTCAATTATATTATTACTTTATTTCTTATAAATTGTCTATTACAGTTTTGCTATAAAATACGATATTATGATTTAAAATGTTATATATATAAGGTTTAAAGTATTGATTATTTATGCAATTATGTTATAAATCGTTTTTATTACAAAAACTTTTTTAAAAAACGTGATGATATTTTTGTAAATAATTTAAACTTTGAAGTGCAAGTAAATTGTGTTAAAAGTGCAAGTAATAGTTTCATAGAATGCATCTAAGTGTATGTAAAATTAGACCTGGCAATTATCGACACGACCCGTTAACACGACACGAAACCGGACACGAAAATAACGGGTTAGTGTTTAGCCTTAATGTGTCCCGGGTCGTTAACGGGTTGACCCGTTAATGACCCGTTCTGTTTCGTGTCTTAACGGGTTAACCCGTTAAACCTATTAAGAACACGTTTAACCCGTTAATATTATCGTGTTAACCCATTAACACGAACCCGTTTACCCAACCTGTTTATAACCCGCTAAGAACCATTGTCATGAATGTGATTACAAAAGATATTATGAACATGACTAAGGATGAATTTACTACGTTAGGCCAAGATCCTACACACCAATTATTGATGTTCAACAATTTAAATTTTGAATTTTTATTATGTTCAATTTTATTCTAAAAACTAGTGTGGACTCCTTTAATTATAATTTTTGGATGTTATTTTATCATTTTATGAACGTTATGAATTGAATATTTTTAAATTTCTTTAATAGATTGAACTTTAGGTTTTATTTTTTTTATAGAACTTAACTTTAAATTTTAGTTTTTTTAAATATATTAATAGAAATAGCGGGTTTAAACGAGTTTCGTGTCATATCGTGTCGACACGATTTGAAACCTGTTAACGAAACGTGTCTATCGTGTCAACCCGTTTAACCCGTTAACAAATTGTGTTCGTGTTCGTGTTAAGAATTTGAACCTGTTAACCTTAACGTGTCGTGTTCGTGTTTAGCCTTATCGTGTTCGTGTCGTTATCGTGTCGACCCGTTAATGGACCCATATACACGAATTGCCAGGTCTATGTAAAATGTATTAGAAGTGCAATAAAATAATATACACTGAGCAACATTATTAAGTGCACCTAACGTCATCATTAGGTGCACCAATGTGAAAATGTAAATTACTTGCATTATTAAGTGAAAAAATTGTTGTACTTTTAAGCGATTTTACTTGCACATTTTACTTACACACTTTCACCCGTTAATTATACTTTTAACACATGTTACTTGCACCAAAGTTTGAGTTATTTGCAAAAATACCACTGCATTTTTTTAAAAAAAAAATTACATATGATTCGTTAGATCTGGACAAATAGATGTGTGTGATTAGTTCTCATTCCTCTCCTGGACAACCATTCTCACCTAAGTACACTTTGGTATATGATGACGGACAGGTTTAGGCTACACTAAAATATCAGTAAAGATTCCGTTTTTGGAGTATCGTGGAGAGTTTGCCACAGAATGCACGCAATCATTGTTGAAAAATAATATCTGTTTGTGGGAGGGAACTGATAAGTCTGGGTGGACACCACTACACTATGCCATAAAAATTGAGAATGATAAAGCTGCTCGAATGATAATTGAGAGAGAAGCATCTGCAGCTTACACTCCTGCGGGGGGTAGTGACAAGTGGACAACAACATTCCACATAGCAGCAAGGCATGACAATGTTGAAATGATGAAGGAGATATCAAATAGGTGCCCAGATTGTTGGGAGATGGTGAATAGCAAAGGGCAAAATGTATTGCATGAAGCAATGTTGAGTAAGAAAGTGAATGTGATACAACATATAGAAAAAAGCTGTGAACAACTGGACAACCTTGTTCATCACAAAGATGAGGATGGTAACACACCACTGCACCTGCTTGCCGTTTATGACTGTGATATTATACGGCAATTTATAAAAGACCATCCTATGCTGAATTATTTTGCATTTAATAAGGAAAACCAAACTCTGTTTGACATGGCAAGCAGTTCTAAGGCGGTTGGATACAAGAAGCTAATTGAAAAGGTGAGTGTACACACTTAATTTACATCATTATATTGTTTTTTTATGTCACACTAATTAAATTAAATTTATCTCTATATTATACATACATACAGCATTATATATCCTCCACCACAATATTAAGGACCGGCTCCCAAAAGATTAATATATATTTTTTTGAATGCTAATGACCAAAGAGCCAATAACGACCTTTACTGAGGCTCAAACTCACACCCTCCCACATAGGAGTCCAACCCAGATGCCATTTATGCACAAGGTGCTTGGCATATATATATATATATATATATATATATATATATATATATATATATATATATATATATATATATATTTCTCTTGCAACAAATTATTCTGTAAACAAGAGTCTACCTTTCAAAGTGGACCGAAATCTAAAAATACAAAATTTACACACTGAATGTTCATAATTAAAGTTATGAACATTTAGTATGTAAATTGTATATTTTAGAACTGGATGTGATCTATAGTATAACTTTTGATCTGTCGCCAAAGCCAAGCGGCAAGCTAATTGAAGGCTCAAATTGGGGTTTGGCCCAATTGTTTAACTTGAAAGTTATATATATATATATATATATATATATATATATATATATATATATAACCTGTTCACTATTGACTTATTTTTAAATTTAATTTTTATGTCTATTAGTACTTTTAGTGTAATTTTTAAATATATAAATTTTGTATACTAATACTAAATTTAATATTATAAAAATTTGAATTAAAAATAAATTTAACCTAGAAGATACATAAAATGGGAAGGAGGGAGTTATATTTCTTAGGATTTTATAATTATGCTTTCTAAAAAAAATTAAATCTTAAAAATGAGCATCTAATTTTTTTATGAGGATATGAGCATCTGATTCTTTAAGTGAAATTATATATATATATATATATATATATATATATATATATATATATATATATATATATATATATATATATGCGCTACAGGGCAAGAGAAAACTTCTAAAGAAAAGAAAATTTGCTGACCGCTTGATAGAAAATCCAAATGAAGAAGATAAAAGGCTAAATGAAGCTATTGAAGCTAAGATAAAAAGCGGTGAAACAAGCATCCTTGTGGCAACATTGATAGTAACGATGACCTTTGCAACGGGTCTTGCAGTGCCAGGAGGATACCACCAAGAAAAAGGGTACCCATTATTGCAACAAAACGCAGCTTTTAAGGCCTTTGTTATAACCAATACTCTTGCTTTCCTATCCTCTATTTGCTCCATTGCCGTTTACGTCAAGATGGTTACAAAGGCCTCACAGCCCAGGAAGAGCTATGAAGCTGTGGATAAGTTGTATGATTGGCAGGACAAATTGCTTCGTTTGACATATTTAGGAGTAATAATTGCATTCCTGTGTGGAGTATATGCCACTTTAGAACCTGATCGTCCTCTTGCTATTACTGATTTAGTCTTAGGCGTCAAAGAAGTTGGCTTTACAGCAGTTTCCTGTCGCCGGATCTAACCCATTCCGGGAATCCATCCGAGTCTTGATTCGCCGCTAGTAGTTTCCGGTGGATCGGAATGTTGAAGTCGCCGAGAATCGAGAAAATGTGAGCCACGATTGCTCTTTCAACATTATTGCCTAAACATTCTTTCGACATTATTGCCTTCACATTGCTCTTACTTTGAATTGTAGGTGTGTCGAAAGTGTGGCTTGTTGGGATATTATAACTACAAACTGAAGACTGGCATTTGTTCAACATGTAAAAATGGGGATAATACATCTACCATGAAGTTGCCATATGCATGAGAAGTGATCCATGTTGCTAGTCGAAAGAAGTCAAGAAGAATGTGATAGGAGGCTTATATATAACCTTTGCCTTTTGGTCCAAACTTGAAACACCATTCAATAATTTCTTCTTGGTCCAAACCTGAGATTTAGGTTTGTAGCCCAGAAAGGAAGAAAGGAGCGACATAGGTGGGATTTTTTTAAAAGGGCGGTTGCCTCTCTCTGTTTTGCAATGATTCCTCTATTTTCAACTTTCAACAACCCTTTCGATTTGTTTTTGTTTTTTTGTTTTCCCCGGAAATAGATACAGAGAGACAGAGATTGAGATATGTTGTTCATCGCAATGCATTCACTTTATGAACATAAGTCGTCGAGAATCGAGAAAATGTGTGCAACACTTTCTTGATCTGTTATGGCGGAGCTCAGCCATGTTTTCAGATCGGCGATTATTGCAGAAAAAAACCGCTTGCCGTCTCCGGTCAAATCCCCGGCATTTTTATCGTGAAAGCTATGAGGTTGAAGGTTTAATAAATAAGATATATGAAATTACATTTTTGTCCTTCAATTTAACCGCTTAAGGATGGAAATTTAACGGAGGACCAAATTGGTTAACATTTTCAAAATCGAGGACTTAATTGGACAAAAAAAAATCATCGAGGATCAAATTGGTAATTTCGTAATAGTCGAGGGACCATTTCGGTAATAAACTCTATTTATTATGTTGATTGTCTTTTTGGTTTTTCCAATTTCTTATTTATTATGTTGATTGTCTTTTTGGTTTTTCCAATTTCTTATTTATTATGTTGATTGTCTTTTTGGTTTTTCCAGTTTCTTATTTATTATGTTGATTGTCTTTTTAGTTTTTCCATGTCCCTTATGTCTTTCTTTGTACTGTGTAAGTTCTCTGTTCTCTAAGTTTAATTTTAATTTACATTGGTTTATTTAGGGAAAATAATTTTCTTCTGAATTCATGAATTATTAATGTATCTATATTAGCTCTCAATTATTTTAAAATTAGAGATTTTCTTCCCTTTTTTGTTAAATAAACAAGCATGTGAAACAATCTAAATTGATTCAAACAAAATAAATCAGAAAAAAGTAATGTAGATGCACCAGTGTAGTCCATCAAAATAGAGAAGCAATGAATACCGGAAGTAGAAAGAACATCAAACTCACTTTCGCTTCAAGGGAACGAGTTAGGCAAAAACATGAAAAATTTCGCCAACCAGATAGCAAAGCTTCAATTAAGTGTACAAAAATTGAACATCTAACATGCAGATTCACAGAGAGAAGATAGAGTTGAAGAAAATGATGGTCGGAGAAGCCACCGCAGGAACTACAATAGCTTAGGCACTTGTTAAACTATGTACTTCGTATACTACAAGTTGTAGTATTTTAACGGATAATTATTTTCTCATATTAATGAGCGCATTGTCTCAACAACCAATTGTAGTATTTTAGAGAATAGTTCCCATATTAATGAATTGTTGACATGTGAATAGCTGAAAATCATATTAATGAATTGTTGACATGTGAATAGCTGAAAATCATTATTTAAAGACTCATCACTTCCAACATTGGCCAACATCATATCTTAATGTCACTTAAACAAATTTTGGCCAGCATGGACAGCTCAGTTGGTTATTACGGAGATGAAGTTTGAGAACAATAATCTCTGATCGAGTCTCACCAGTGACAGTGTGAAATCAACATGACAAACTGAGGAGGGTCTTTGTCTAGTTAGTGTTGCGGATTAGAGGTTCAATCTTAAACAAGTTTTGCTAACTTCTAGATCTGACGCAATCTCAACCTACTGAAACACAAAGAACCAATAACGCCTGAGGGGGTCTTTGTCTAGTTAGTGTTGCGGATTAGAGGTTCGAGTCTCACCAGTGACAGTGTGAGATCAACATGACAAACTGAGGAGGGTCTTTGTCTAGTTAGTGTTGCGGATTAGAGGTTCAATCGCCTCTGTGTGGATTAGAGGTTCAATCTTAAACAATCTCAACCTACTGAAACACAAAAAACCAATAACGCCTGAGGGGGTGGTTCAATCTTAAACAAGTTTTGCTAACTTCTAGATCTGAAGTAATCTCAACCTACTGAAACACAAAGAACCAATAACGCCTGAGGGGGTGGGGTCTTTGTCTAGTTAGGTTCAATCTTAAACAAGTTTTAATCTGACGCAACCAAGTTTTGCTAACTTCTAGATCTGACGCAATCTCAACCTACTGAAACACAAAGAACCAATAACGCCTCCACCATGGCTCAAACTCACAAGCTTCCAGATGGAAGTCCAACACGGATACCATTAGACCACATAGTCTTGGTTGACGCAAATAATATATTACATAGAAATACGCTTATTATTTTCTTAAAATCTTACCATGATTTAATTAATTACTTCAGAGTTTTGATCCTTACAATCGTAGAAATCATTATATAGTAACTGATAGATCACTGTGGAGTGTGGACATTATATTCACCCATCAAAAATCTAATAGTCACTTGTTAAGCTATGTGTGTACCTGGACCTTGAATTGGTAGAACATTACAAGTCGCAGTAATCTAACGGATAATTATATTCTCACATGCAAGGAGGCGTTATCCTTACTAAGGAGGGGTCGTGGAGAACAGGTGTTGGAGCTCCGCACAGATTATTCCACTCTTCAACATTATTTATTCGTGCCCACAGGCTCCGTTCGTTCCTACACTTGCTTCGCTGAGTGCAGATCCGTATTACATCTTTTTCACATTGCTAAATTAAGTTTGTTCCTAGATCAGCTAATTTAATAACTTATACACTTGCTTCTCTAGCATTTGCTCAGTCTACTGCATTGTACTGGAATTCTATCCCATGACCCTATTGTTGGTTATCTTTAATATATGCCGTTGATGGTTGCTTTCAAAAAATATTCTCATATTGTGAAAGTATTGTTGACTCTCTTGTGAAAGTATTTCACATATCTTTATTCGTGAGATGGGTCAGATCAAGATAAAAATATAGTACTTATGATGAAAAATTTAATATTAGTCACCAATAAATTGATTTTTTACTTATAAAGAAAGAAAAACTTTGCGAGTTCTTTTTCATAAAGCGTGAAACGCTAAAACATGTGATGACGTATGTAAATATCATCCTAGGTGACAAACATGACAATGAAAAATAGACTCCTCTAGACTATGATATGCAGTTCAGCACGATAGAGATATCGTCAATAGATGTATAGAAGAATGGAAATAGATACTCAGATGGTGTGTAAGACTATTCAACTAGTGTGGTACATTTGACCAAATCATTAAAAAGAGCTTTAAGTTCCTCCAAAGAATCCAGTTTCAAATTTGTGAAATAGTTTGCGAATCAAGTTTTATTTAGCATCCGTACGGAAGTTGTTTCTATGTCTGACCGTAAGGAATGTTTAACCATTCCATCTATCTTTATTGTAAACGTTTCAGCTAATGATTAATGAATTAGCTTCTTTATTTAAAAAAAAAAAAATGAGAAGAAGAAGAAGAATAGACGCCACCCACCCTACCATCTAAATACTAAATACTTAATGTATATATGAACACAATTTGGGGTGTATTTGTTTTAGATTTAATTTTGTTTTAGATTCATATTAGATATAGAATTATACAAGTTGTAGAGTTGTAGTATTTTAGTGGATTGGCGGCCCCCCATACTAAATAATGAATTTTATACATCTCAACGTACAACCTGTGCATGGAAATCTTTACTTAATGAGTGATTAGCATTGTGGTTGGAGTGTTTAAAAATAGTATTAGGTAGTGTTTTAAATTGTCAACGGAAAGGTATCAATCAACAAGCTAAGCATAAAAGGGTACATACGGTTAAGATTGAAGGCAAGTGGCGCTGTGCCAAAGTACCCATTTAACAATGGTCATTGATCATATGAACCCGGTTCTATACAAAGCAGTTGTGAAAGGCAATGTTAAAGATTACCATGAGGCCTTACGGCAGATGCCGGAAGAAGCTCGCCGGTGTCAAGTTACGCCCAGGGGCAACACTGTGCTGCACGTTGCGGCAATCCATGGTCACAAAGATTTGGTGGAAGAGATCCTAGATGAAGTACAGGATAATGATGCAGCCATGTCCCTGTTGTTTGCCAAGAACAAAAGAAAGGAAAGTGTGGTACACTGTGCAGCAGAGAAGGGCTATGGCGGTGTAGTCTCTGTCATCTTCAGCGCCATTAAGAAGCATGAAGATGTGGAATCTGCAGGTGGTAGAGTGAGGGAGATGATAGAGATGACGGATTATGTGAAAGACACGGCTTTGCACAAGGCGGTGCGAATGGGACATTTGCAAGTGGTCAAGTTACTGGTTCAAGAGGATCCTGAATTTGAGTACCTTGCCAACGATGATGGAGAGACGCCGATTTACATAGCAGCAGAGTTGCAATTTCATGGCTGCTTGGAGGAAATGCTCAACACATGCAGAAATCCTACCTATGGTGGACCACTGGGTCGCAATGCACTCCATGCAGCTATCTTATCAGGTTTGATAAAAAGTTTTAGTCAGTATCCTTGTGGTTTAGATGTACGAGTCAAAGTAAAATTTTAATACTTATACTTTAAAAATATAATACTACTAAACAATTCTTTTATTTTATGGGCAAGGTATAATATGTTCTAAATTAAAAGTTAATTATGCGGCCAGAACTAAAACTTAAGTTAGAACTTACTATCTAACATAATTTGGGTATGGCTGGATGTATACCAAATTAAATAATAGTTAGTGTTTTGTTTTTCACTAGAAAAGTTAATTAAATTGATAATTGCATGTATGGATCGGATCGGAGCTAGTAATAATATTGAAATGAAGCAATAAATCGATCTTTTAAATATTACTATATTAAGTTCAACAACATTGCATGTGTGGATCGGATCAGATCGGAGCTAGTAATATTGGAATGAAGGAAGAACCAGATCGGATCAATCGTCTTACCATTTAACAATTTTTTTAAATGTTTAAATTCAAGTTACTATTTAATTTGTACACAAGTTCTCTCTCTCTCTCTCTCTCTCTCTCTCTCTCTCTCTATATATATATATATATATATATATATATATATATATATATATATATATATATATAATTAGGTTCAAATGCGGTTGGTGCGCCCAAGTGCAATTGTGCGATTAAATTTGAGTCATTGATCTTGCTTAAATCAACGTCCAGGATTAGAAAAATTTTTAAAAAGAAAAAAAAAAAAAGCGGTGGCAATTTGGTAATTTTTTACATCTAGGTCAAATGTAAGGTGAGTGATTTTCCTTCTTAAGGTGCGTGGGTTTGTGTTTAAGGTGCGTGGATTTTGTGCTTAAGGTGCGTGGATTTTATGCTTAAGGTGCGTGGGTTGTGGGTTTATTGTGCATATTTGTTGTAACTTACGGTGCGTGGTTTTCCTTCTTAAGGTGTGTGGTTTTGTGCTTAAGGTGCGTGAGTTTTGTGCTTAAGGTGCGTGGGTTTGTGCTTAATGTGAGTAGTTGTTGAAACTTAAGGTGCATGATTTTCCTTCTTAAGGTACGTTGTTTCATTCTTAAGGTGCGTGATTTGCATGCTTAAGATGCGTCAGTTGTGTGGAACTTAAGGTGAGCCATTTTAAAACCTTAGGCGTGTGGTTTGTGTTCTTAAGGTGCTTTGTTGTGTGTGCTTAAGGTGCGTGATTCGTTTGTGTACTTAAGGTGCGTTAACCGCACAACAGCAGGGGAAGCTATACCCACGCTTCCCCATATATATATATATATATATATATATATATATATATATATATATATATATATATATATATATATATATATATATATATATATATATATAATGGTCATATGTGGTCATGTTGTTAGGTGTGGTCGTGTGGCGGAATTTCAGAAAACACCAATAGTGTAAAAAACATGCACCAACAGTGTAAGGGAAACACACCACAATGAAATGCAAAAAAACACCAAAAATACACAACAGACCTAAAACATACACCATATAACTCACCAACCCCAATGGTGTATTTCCGAACACTGTATGGTGTTTTTACTCACACCTAATGGTGTGTTGTTGGTGATGCGTAGCTAATTTGTGTGCGTTTTTTGTGGTGCATTTCCTGACGTTGATGGTGTATATCTTACTTAACTATTGGTGTATTCTGAAAATCGCCACATGACCACACGGGAAGGGGTCGCCACACCTGAGTGCGACCCTATATATATATATATATATATATATATATATATATATATATATATATATATATATATATACAATTTAGTTCCTGTGCGGTTGGGTGTCTCCT